ATGTGTTTCAAAGACAGAGAAACAGCGCTACAGCTACAAAGGAGAGGAAGGTGGCAAAGGAGAAGATTTTTGCTCGAGTATGCATGCCTAAGTTTATGAAGTGGTCTATGGCAGGCCGTTTTTAAATTTATCAAAAGCACTCCTCTCTGTTGTTCCGTTTGATAAGATTCTTCCTGATCAAAATCAAACGCCTAGACCCAACTTTGATAATATATTTTCTAAATTACATTTTAGCAGCAGAAACAGAATTTTAGAAAGTAAAAAACAAAACAAAATTTTACTAGTAAGAATTAAGCTTTATATATCTAGAAATGATGGTCGTAATGAATGGTAGTAGATCAATGTATCTATTTAGGTTCTATTTATCTTCTGGCAGCAGGTGAAAAGGAAGCCTAAAGATGTTCTAATCTATAGAACCTGCGGATCATCTCATGGGTCTCTCCTCATTTTGATTCAGTCTTATTTTACACAGTAAAGTGGCTGTTTGCAGCCGTGCTTAGGACTTTATCATTCCAATAAATGGTTTTTATTAGCTGTTATCAGTACCACAGAATGCATTCAGATTGTGATAGTAGGCTCATTAGGTTGTTATCATCGAGTGAATCTTAATCCTAACCCCAAAGTAATTGCTTTTCCCTCATGGAATTAATTAATCTATTTACATATAATCTGAAAATAATTTCAGTAGTTCTTCATGTACTGTAAATATAAAAAAAACAAAAAAAAAAAAAAACATCTCACTCATAAACAAACCAAAAAGAAGCAATCTCATGCCCTGTTAACTGAGTTGTAGAATCCTCTCCCTATAAATATTTAATTCTTTTGAAAAAGTGTCGTTCATTCTTTAATAAGATCCTCGTCATCGGACATGCAATGTTTGTTTGTAAACCTACTGTGTCAAATGGACCGATGAATGATATATATATGCATGTTACTATGGTGACTGAAACAGAGGTTGGGGAAACGCTCTTTCTGAACGGAAAAAGTCAGAGTTTCCTTGTTTTCAGGTTTAGACAACTTAGAGTTTTCAGTAAACCTGCTTCATGAAATGGACCCCTGGCCTGCTGTCTTATTGTCTGTTGACCATCTTGGATTTGAGAAATGTCGTTGCACTTGCAGGGGATGGCCAATAGTTAGCAGTGTATTGCATACTGTACTTCCATTTGTTGTAGTATACACAGTTATAACATAAAAAAAAAACACAAATAGAAGAAAATAGATTTCAAATAACTTTCTACTTTAGGGACTATTACATAAAGGACCAGTATGGCATCCACAGTGAGAGAATTGTCCTACCACAAAAGGATTCTTTTGTACTTTTGTCTTTATACTGCTAAATTGTAAGTTTGCAAGCAGGGTACGAAATATTTTCTATGTTGCTGAATTAAATGTATTTCCGTGCATAGATTCCATTAGAAGAGGCACATATGCTGATAAGAGAAGCTGTGAAGCAATGCATACGGTTATAATTCCCTTAAGCTGAAGTGCGAAACAACACCATCAGGAGTGCAATACTAGTGGGTGTAAGGGCACAGGCACACAGAAGAAAGAAAACAGAGGCCAAAAATGATCTACAAGTGCGCCTCACTTACCCTGCCATGACAGGTGAAGACAATTATACTCTAGTCAGCAAAAACAGTGAATGAGGGTATTAGTTGTGAAGAGATGGTAAATGGTAGGTTGACATTTTTCAGTTACAAATACTGTAAGAGGAAAACCAACAAGGATCCAAAAACAGTTCAACAATGAGGGAATGAGTGAAGGCCAATGTTTTTAACCACTTTCCACTTTTATAACACAGACAAATGTCACACTAGAAAAGTAATACAAAGCAATAATAAAAAAAATCCCTCAATATTCTTCCCCTAGAAAAGGAAGAAATGAAAAGCTCCACCAAAGCCGGGAGCTTAAGGTGAACCTCAATGATTTTTACCTTCAACTTTTTTGTCATATTCAAGGGAAATGAAATCCAACATCAACAAAATTTGGTCAGCTTTTTAATTCCTACAATAAAAAAAAAAAAAAGATACTGTTTGAGACTGTATGGAGAACAGGATGCGGGT